CTTTTATTTCTGCCGAGACATCTTCTTTAACTTTGGAAACTTTTTTTTTATATAAAAAAGTATACGTATACACATTGGGGTTGATTTACTAATTAGACTGTGCACTCATAGCAAGTAGAGTTGCACTACCTCTCCCCAGAGCTTAGTAAATACGGTGAACTTCTGCTGATTTTCATTATCCAGTCAGTCATGTGCTAGCAAAAATGCATTTTTTATTTTTCCTTGCACTTGGTTGGGTTTTCTTTAAAAAGTGAAGTTTTATCACATTCACTATGCTGTGGGGAAAATAAGTGCAACTGTACTCACAAAATGCACAGTCTGTTTACCTTTAGTAAATCAACCCAACAGAGTGTTATTTAAATCCATCTACCCAGAATCAGTCTTTGTATTGTAAAAAACCAACCCCCATAGCCGATAAGTACATGATCAGGTATATGGTCATAGCAAACAGGTTAGATGGAAAATCTGTTGTTTTGGGCCTTGTGTAACAGTGTTTCAAAAAAGTCCATCACACACAAACCCTCCTGGGCCTAAAAATATACAACAGAAGCACTGCAGCATCAAAGCAAGACTACCAGCACACGTGTTGCAGCATTGTCACACAATGCATTTGTGGCATGCTGCCATTTTTGCTGACCTGACTGTCTCCATTGTTCCTGTTCATCATACAATTTGAAAGTTCGCCTTGGCACTAAATGGACAGTTCTTAGCCAGACTTGATCAAATGCACGCATAGTCATATCCATGAGAGGCAGACAGCTGTGTTGGTCCTTCCAGATGATCTTACCAATATAAAAAGGCCTTGGGTTTTAGTGTATGCAATCACATTGTACAGCAATGCAGCAGAATGACACTGGATGCCATTATTATAAATATGTCTAGGTAAAGTAGAAAAAAATTATAAATATATATGTGGACATCTCCCCCAATACATGTACACTTACCCATGTTTTATCACTTCTAAATATAAAAGTACAGAAATATACCTGCTGGTCTGCCAGAAAAGTCAGTGTGCCCCTCATCTCCTATTTGGGCTGACAAAAGAATGCATTTGCTGTACTGAAATCTTAACCAGAATTGGCAGCCCTGTCTGCCAGACTGCAGAACTCTGATTATAGCTCCATCTGCTAGTGCAGGCCATACACAGGTCAAATTCTGAACAAATTTTCTTTAGAAAACGGAATTTTTGTGCATTTTGCAATCCAATGGTGCCACCATTTATTTCAGAATTCAACCAACCAAGCTTTTAATTGCATCTCATTTTGCTACAGAAAAAGACTTTGTGGCCAAGAATTTTCTTTTCTATCCAGATCACAGCTCAAGCTCGATTACATGTCTCACATGATTCTCCCATCATTAATTAGAAATGTTTAAAAAAATTTCCAACATGACCGATTACTCAAAATTTGATGGTCGCTAGAAAACCGGCCATTGCTGTGGCCCATTAAGGATGCAAAATTTGAATGAAAATTCTTAGAAAAAGATTTTCGAAAGAAAATTCTTTTGGAATTCAAGCCATGTATGGCCAGCTTAAGTGTCCCACTCCACATGGATATATTAATTTTTCCCATTAATACTATGCTACCACCTTGATTTGCAAGAGCTAGCCCACACATTGCGGTTGATTTACTACATGCAAACTGATTGAGCACTCTGCAAATGCAGTTGTACTCATTTTCCCCAGAGATTAGTGAATGTAGTGAAGTCTTGCTGAGTTCCATCGTCAATCACGCACAAGCAGAAATGCAGTTTTTTCTTTTTTTTTTTTTTTCCTTGTATCTGACTGGGTATTCTTTACAAAGTGAAGCTTCACTGCATTCATTAAAGCAAGATAGATGATTCAATTTTCTTTCCTGCAACCACGGGTTGCAGCAAAGAAAAGTCTTTCCATTCCCCCCATCAACACTAACTGGATCCTTCCTGCAGCGTTATTGTGTTCTGCCAGTGGGAAGCCTTTCCTGCCAGCAGAACACAATGATTAGCACTGGTGGCTAAAGCCGCTGGCAGTAATCACAAGCTAAAAAAATGACAGGCTGGTTTTACTTAAGTTGATCGATGGATTGACTTCAGGACAACCAGCCTGCCCACACATGGATCAAATCTTGTCCGGACCCTGCTGAACCAGCCAAGATTCAATCCATCTATGACTGGATTAAGCTGTAGGGAAAAAGTGTGCACAGTCTATTTGCCTTTAGCAAATCAACGTCATGTGTGTAGGGAAAGGGCTCTTGGGTAATGTAGTTCTGGGGGAGTATGCCTACATCAACAGCAACTGAGCTTGCAGCAACTGAGCTTGCAGCAGCTGCCGCTTTAAGGACATTACACACCTAGTCATGATGTCACAAAGAGTGATAAAAGCCGTTTATTGCAACAGTAAAAGGTAAAAAATGTTGGAAAATACTCCAGCAAGAAGGGGAGGATTGCTAATGGCAGAACAAGCACAGAATATAATCTGACTGGTGAACACAACATAAACACAACAGATCCTGCATATATAAGCCAACCATGAGTAAGAGCTCAAAGACTAGCCATGTGCCCAAGACAAACTACATCATGGTAGCCATCATATCCCATTCTATACTAGCATGACTGCCCGTAATACCTCCAGAATGCTATAGATACTTTCCTCTGTATTACAGTATGAGTTTATTGCTTACAATAGAGTAAATGTAGTTCTAGCAAAATGTGCTATGTTCATTTAATGGCACCTTACTTAAAACAACAAAGCCTTACAGAAATGAAAAATGCAGTCAAGGATTTTCTCTTGATGCTGGAATGGCTCCAGTACAAACTGGATTGTACATGGGAACATGGTGTCAGGCTCAGGCAGAATCAGCTCTCTGACTTGTGGTTTTTGACAACATTCATCTTCCCTTGGCCTGATAGAGAGCAATTAGTGCTTGTCAGTTGGATCATGTGTTATTAAGATCATTCAAGCATTTTCTTTTAATTATAGTAAGCAGAACGGAAAGTCAGAGCTTCTGCAACTTTAACATTTCCACTTCCTTTCTAGACTAGGCACACGGTGATTTGGTGCAGCCTGTTTCTGCATGGGGCAAACTTCATGTTCACACCTTCCATAAAGGTGAACAATGTAATGTAATAGCACTGGAAGTATTTATTTCAATTGTAAAGCATTCCAAGGGCTTCATTTGACCTGTATGCATTACTTCACACCATACTACTTCTTTAAAGAATAAGTGCGTCTTTGGGATGAAAGAAATGTTCTATTACATTGTTCCTCCTTGCAAAATAGCTGTATTTGTTACAATAGGCCTCATGCACACCGCAGCTCAAAGAAGCTGCTCCTACAGTAAAAGCTCAAAACTGCCCAAATGCCTGTAGGAGCAGTTTCTTTGAGCTGTCATGTGTATGAGGGTAGAGGCAGAGAAATAAAAGCTCAAACAGCTTCTTTTTTTGGAGCTGCAATATGCATATGTGTGGTTCATACGCATTCCCAGACCCGCTACAGTGTGAAGCCAGGCCTAAGGAAGGCTGCAACATTTTCTAATGTTATATGAAAGATGGCATTTTCTTTAAGGCTCGTTTACACCACAATTTCTGTATTCTGGATGCAATCGGGCAGCACAGTGGCTAAGTAGTTAGCACTTCTGCCTACTAGCGCTAGGGTCGTCAGTTTGAATCCCAACCACGGCACTACCTGCATGGGGTTTACATGTTCTCCCTGTGCCTGCCTGGGTTTCCTCTGAGTATTCAGTTTTCCTCCCACAATCCAAAGACATGCTGGTAGGTCAATTAGCTCCTGTCTAAATTGGCCCTAATATGTGTACGTGTGAATGTGAGTTAGGGACCTTAGATTTTACACTCCTTGAGGGTTAGGGACTGATGTGAATGCACAATATGATGTAAAGCGCTGCGTAAATTGACGGTGCTATATAAATACCTGTAATAAATAAAATACATTTCTATATGAGCATTTGTGATGTGTTCCTGTGCATTTTCCCCCACTTTTTCTTCATCTCAGTCCAGTACATGTGCGCTCTGGTGCATTTTTAATGTATTTGCCACAATCCCGACCAAAAAATGCAGCATGATCTATGTTTGTTGATTGCCCTGGAATGCACAGCACCGTTGTGAACTAGGGCCATTGGAATACATGGAAATTACAGTACATGCTTTTTGATGCAGATTAAAAACTCACTGGACTGCATCTTAGGCCCTTTTCACATCTGGCGTTTTGGGATCTCAAGCAAAATCGCTGCAATTCTGCCCGTGATCCCAAATTGCACTTCAATAGGGAAAAAAACGCCCTACACGTGTTCATGTGCCTTTCATTTTTAATGGCATATAAATACGGTGCTGTTCTGCCATGATTGTTGTGCAATAAATCACGCTGCAATCACAGCAAATCATATCATGAGAAACTTGTCGCCCAAAAGAAGTTCCCGCTCCTTTTTGGGCGCCAAGCTTTGCGCAATGCAGTTTACCACGATTTATGATTTGTTAAAGGCAGCAAAACCAAACTGCATTTAGGTGCCATTAAAAAATGAATGCCAAACAGGTGTTAGGTTTGCAGTGTGATTTGGAATTGCAGGCAGAATCACAGTGATCCTGCCCAAAACCCCAGATGTAAATGGGTCCTGCTGCCTTCATATGTGTCTGCATTCTGCCTAACTAGCCAGCCCATCATAACATGGTCTAGGATGCATACATGCCTTTGAAATGATATACTGTATGAAGAGGGGTCTGTATCTGCAAATGACTAGAAATATAAACTGGCAGGACTCCTGTTAATTACCACTACAGTGCTCCTTTGAGCATTAATAAGAAAACTTTAAAAAGGAGTACACCTGAAAACTTGCTTGATTTGCTTTAATTGTTTAGAAGTTCACTTATTCTTGGTGGAGAGCATCCTAAAACAGGACAAATTACAATGTACACTATATTGCCAAAAGTATTGGGACAGCCATCCAAATCATTGGATTCAGGTGTTCCAATCACCTCCATGGCCACAGGTGTATAAAATCAAGTACCTAGGCATGCAGACTGCTTCTGCAAACATTTGTGAAAGAATGGGTCACTCTCAGGAGATCAGTGAATTGAACCGTGGTACCGTGATAGGTTGCCACCTGTGCAATAAGTCCATCTGTGAAATTCCCTTGTTACTAAATATTCCAGTTAACTGTTAGTGGTATTATAACAAAGTGGAAGCAACTGGGAACAACAGCAACTCAGCCACGAAGTGGTAGGCCACGTAAAATGGCAGAGTGGGGTCAGCGCATGCTGAAGCGCACAGAAGTCGCTAACTGTCTGCAGAGTCAATAGCTAAAGACCTCCAAACTTTGTGTGGCCTTCAGATTAGTACAACAGTGCAAAGAGAGCTTCATGGAATGGGTTTTCATGCCTGGGCAGCTGCAACCAAGCCTTACATCACCAAATACAATGCAAAGCATTGGATGCAGTGGTGTAAGAATGCCGCCACTGGACTCTAGGGCAGTGGAGATGTGTTCTCTGGAGTTACAAATCACGCATCTCTGTCTGGCAGTTCGATGGACATGTCTGGGTTGGGTGGTTGCCACGAGAACTGTACTTGCCTGACTGCATTGTGCCAAATGTAAAGTTTGGTGGAGGGGGGATTGTGGTGTGGGGTTTTTTTCAGGGGTTGGCCTTGGTCCCTTAGTTCCAGTGAAGGGAACTCTTAAGGCGTCAGCATACCAAGACATTTTGGACAATTTCATGCTCCCAACTTTGTGGGAACAATTTGGGGATGGCCCCTTCCTGTTCCAACACAACTGCGCACCAGTACACAAAGCAAGGTCCATAAAGACATAGATGAGTGAGTTTGGGGTGGAGGAAATTGACTGGCCTGCACAGAGTCTTGACCTCAACCCGATAGAACACCTTTGGGATGAATTAGAGCGGAGACTGTGAGCTAGGCCTTCTTGTCCAACATCAGTGCCTGACCTCACAAGTGCGCTTCTGGAAGAATGGTCAAACATTCCCACAGACACACTCCTACTTCTTATGGACAGCTTTCCCAGAAGAGTTGAAGCTGTTATAGCTGCAAAGGGTGGCCAACCCAATATTGAACCCTACAGATTATGATTGGGATGCCATTAACGTTTATGCGTGTAAAGGTAGGCGTCCCAATACTTTTGGCAATATAGTGTATATTTGGTCAAAGTTTAGAATCATATCAATTTCCACATTTTTTTGTATTTCAATTATTTCTAGCCCACTCCTATTATTATGAATCTTGAAGCTTGTAAACTTATTTTGGAAAGATCCCAACACATTTACTTCCTTGAATTCTGCGAGTTGGCAATGCTGTGTCACACATTTCACAGAGTTGCCTTTTGAACTACAGAGGTGAAAAGAGGTGACAAAGTCAGTCCAGGAATCGCTGACTGTATTCACTGTGCTCTAAATTCCCTTGTAACGAGAATAGCCTTTTTGATATTAGTAAATCAATCCATATCTTTTTGACCGCTTAATAAAAAAATAATCATTCATAAAAAGGACAGCTGCTCTTTGAAATTAATTAGGAATGAAAGTCATTTTAAGGATCAATGCCAGCAAGCAAACTCTGTGTATTAAGAAGAATGCACATTTTATGTTTGAAAACAGTGACCTAAAAAAATCAGCAATTATAAGAAAGACTATTTACGTTAAGATGCAATTAAGAAAATAATATTACCCCATCTAGTTGGCTTAAGCCTTTCTGCAGGTTCCTACAGGATGTAATGAACAATTTTACACGACTTTGCTCGAAAATTCTTCATAAAAGTGACAAAGACGCTAGTAAAACAATAATCACAGTTCCTTGGAGGAAAACAAGGACATGTATCAAAGTAGTACTTCTCGATCATGTTAGAACTGGAATACTAGGATTCTTTCATTCAAAGCTGTATCATTCGGAGAAAAACAAAATCTTTTGTGAGGGGCAAAAAACTCATCAAGATTTTCAGAACTGCTCCATGATAGAAGTCCACCTGAGAACAGACTCCTCCAGTGTTTTTATGTCACCCAAGGCCCTAAATCCTCCTTTCACGGGACATCCTGCAGTTGGCTCCTCAGGCATACACTTGGTGGATTCATGTAACATTTTGGCAGCAAATTCACAGTAGCTGCTGATAGTGGTTTGATGAGGTAACACCATATATTCTGTCTGCGTTTCCTGTGTGACCTTGCAGTCAGAAAAGAATTTTAAGGGAGAGAAGATTCTGCTAACAAAAAACGGAGGATGCTGGAAGCTCTAGCTTTAGTTACAGACAATCCCACATAGTAAGCATTTAACTTTGTGCACGCTTAGGCTCCATTCACACTTGTGCGACTTGTCATGCGACTTTAGACATCAAAGTCGCAAGACAAGTTGCAACCTATTCTTTTCAAAGGCACTCGTTCAAATCAGCGGGACTTTGAAAAGATGTCTGCATTACCTTTATGCAACTTTGATCCAGGTAGTGTAAAGTAAGATCAAAGTGGGCAGCACAGTGGCTAAATGGTTAACACTTCCACCTGGCAGTACTAGGGTTGTTGGTTCAAATCCCAGCCACGGCACCTCCTGCCTGGAGTTTGCATGTTCTCCATGTGCCTGCGTGGGTTTCCTCCAGGTACTCCAGTTTTCTCCCACACTCCAAAGACATGCTGGTAGGTTTATTGGATCCTGTCTAAATTGTCCCCTAGTATGTGTATGTATGAATGTGAGTTAGGGACCTTAGATTGTACGCCCCTTGAGGGTTAGGGACAGATGTGAATGTACTATATATATATATATATATATATATATATAAAGCGCTGCGTAAATTGATGGCGCTATACAAGTATCTGAAATAAATAAAGTCGTGCTGGAAAACTTGCGACTTTGGTGTCACACAAGTGTGAATGGAGTCTTATTCATCCACTCTCTTTTGCTGGCCTCAAAGAACAAATTCAGTTTTGTCAGGTTGTTCTTTAGATACACCATGCACCCCCCTCAGTGTTGCCCAAACACTAAAATACTTACCTTAATCCCCACTCCACTCCAACAGTTCTTCACTGTACAGTTCTGCCTGATGCCGCATGACATGCAAAAAAAAAAATTGTTTCTTTCAGATCCTGTGCCTAGCAAACACATTCCTATGGATGTTCTGTACTTTACTAGATAGCTGAGGCCCACCATAAGTACAGACTGTCCTTAGAAATAAATTTGGGCTGCAGCACAGACTGGGTAAAGCATCTGACCCAAATGGTGTATGGTGCCAGGCAGGGCCACAGTGCAGAACAGAGAGCTGTGAGGAAGTTAAGTATCTTACTGTAAAAGGAACACAGAGGTGAGCAGAACAACTTTAATAACAACTTTATTAAAAGGTAAAATGGTTTTAAACCTCAAACTTGAGGGCATATCCCTCAATAGTGTGTACCTTTTTTCAATTAAGAGCATGAAGTGTTATTTCTGTCTGTTACTTTGCCATCTGCATGAGTCACTTCTGACACCAAGAGAACAATGGTGACAGGGGAGGGACCTCCAGCAGATTGACAGCCTCAGCTCTGTTCCTGTGGGCTGTGTGAAGGGGGGTGTCCCTTCCCTCCAATCAGCTCTCTGAGTTCTCTATACTGAGCTCTGCTGTGTGTAATTTCAGCTCTCTGCCCCATTTTCTGAACTCTCAAGCAAGCTTTATAAATTCAGAATTTTGAACAGAAGTAGAGAACAGAAGACTGCAGATAGAGAGGTACAACTTATGTTGGATTTGTTTCATTTATGTGTATCACCTGAGGCCAGTCACTTCACCGAGTATATGGAATGGTTTAGAACCACTGTATGTAGTCCTGCTACAGGCAGGACTACAGCAAAGAGCAAAAGAACAGTCTGTGCACAAGAAATTCTCTCTGGATTAGGAAGTTCAGAAAGATACTTCTTGAGGAAAAGCACAGTAATGTTCTGGGGTATTCACAATGTACTGCTGCCCTTTTGGGCCATTTCACCAGCTGTAACTAGCTTGACTCTTCACCCAAGATGTCAACCTTTTATTCATCACCAGTTCAGATTCTGAGTAGAAGGAGAACGGCAAGGTTAAGGGTTGGTTTTTAGCCTCTGCAACAAGTCAGAAATAAAATATATAAACCTCCATTCTATGTGAAAGGCATGGAAGAACAATTAGAAGCTGTTTAGTCTTTTGTCAACAAAACAAAAAAACTGCCTTCCGCTTAGATCGCTGCAGCAACATTCAGCCCCTCCTCCTCCTTCCCCCTGCAGACTTCTGGGACACATGACAGGTCCCAGAAGGCTGTGGGACTGTTCACAATGCGCAGCGCAACTTGCGCATCCACAGTAGGAAGAGGGCTGTGAAGTCGGAAGACTTCATTGCCCATTTCACTTACCTAAGATGCCGATGCCGGGACTCAAAGCTGATTAAAGGATCAGTTTGGGTGAGGACATCACTGGATCCCTGGACAGGTAAGTGTCCTTATATTAAAAGTCAGATGCTACAGTATTTGTAGCTGCTGACTTTAACTTAAAGAGGAGCTCCAGGATCTCCCCAAAAAATTAAAGACACCCCAAACACAGGCCACAAATGCAGTGCGTTTGCATGCACCAGATCTCAAAAGACAAACCTGAAGATGCAAACTAACAGGGAAAGAGAATGGATCTGATTTTTATTTTAAATACATTTTCGAAATGTGGCTTGTAATTATCCAGCCAGCTTTCCTCTATCCCAGTTTTTGCACATGCCGTCTATGGCATCCATTTACATAGATAAAGCGTATTAAGTCATTAAGGAAGCGTTAGGAGAAGCACAAGTCTATAAGCAAAATGAAATGCGTAATATTTAGCTTGTATATACACAAGGAAGGATTCCAGTTAAAATATTTGTTTTGTGATTTATAAAAGCCAGTTTGCACTGGAATTAGCTTTTAAGAGAAGATGTTTTTTTCCTAAAAATGTCAAGTTGTCTTTGGAATCGTATCTGATTGAACCACACAGATGGACACTATTACTCTGCTGTAACTTTTAATCTGAATCAAACAGATTAGACGACCAGAAAACTGTGTGCTACGTGTAACAGGGTATTATTGCTGGTTGACATCAATGCAATTACTTCATTAACTCCAGTTACATGCTAACATTTTCCAAAGCGTAGTCATATAAATGCAGGCCTGAGAGATGCTTCTATGGGAAGGGGACACACAGAACTTGGCATTAAAGAGCATAACCACAACCCTGGAGAGAGGAAGTTCCACAATGGGGTTATTTACTAAAGCTAGAGAGTGCAAAATCAGGTGCACTTCTGCATAAAAACCAATCAGCTTCCAGGTTTTATTGCCAAAGCTTAATTAAACAAGCTGACCCAATTCAAGTAGAGTTCAGGTTTACTCCTTAATGGTTTTATTTCAGTTCTGTAAGGGCTTTTTCACACTGGCAGCCA